ACAGTCTTTAATGTTACTTTCAGAGACTCAAGTTTCGAATCATTCTAAACAGCTATGTAAGCTAGAGAAATCTCTATTGTTGTTAACATTATTCAGTGAGCTCAGATGTATATCATATAATCAAATTAGTGAAAATAGTTTTATATGAGAAACTCTGAAGATCGATCATATTAACTTTTCTTGTTATTCAGATCTCGCACTAGGCCTTTTAAATGTCCATTTTCCACAATGTAGCACAAGTGTTAACTGATGTTTTTGTTCCCATCTTGCATATTAACTCTGCAGCTTCCCCTCCTCCATCTTCTTAAACCAAACCCCAGCAACTGAAAGAATTTATTTATTACAACCTCCTAGTATTTTCAGTAAAACTAAACCATCATTGTTGAATGCCTTTTTTCAATTCTCAGTAATTAGTATGGAGCAGCCATATGGTCATAATGATGATACATTCTATGAAGATTTCTTTTGCCCAATAGAAGTTCTGGAAATTCTGTCAAAAGGAACATAAATCTCTCCACTTTCTTTTGAGAAAGTGAATTTGGTTTTGACTGTTGAATCCCCATTCTGAAGGTACATTTGTCACAGGAGTTACAGTTTGATTGTTGAATCCCCATTCTGAAGGTACATTTGTCACAGGAGTTACAGTTTGATTGGTGAATCCCCCATTCTGAAGGTACACTTGTCACAGGAGTTACAGTTTGATTGGTGAATCCCCCATTCTGAAGGTACACTTGTCACAGGAGTTACAGTTTAATTGGTAAATCCCCATTCTGAAGGTACACTTGTCTCAGGAGTTAAAGTTTGATTGGTGAATCCCCCATTCTGAAGGTACACTTGTCTCAGGAGTTAAAGTTTGATTGGTGAATCCCCCATTCTGAAGGTACACTTGTCTCAGGAGTTACAGTTTAATTGGTGAACCCCTCATTCTGAAGGTACACTTGACTCAGGAGTTACTGTTTGATTGGTGAATCCCCATTCTAAAGGTACACTTGTCTCAGGAGTTACTGTTTGATTGGTGAACCCCCCATTCTGAAGGTACACTTGTCTCAGGAGTTAGTTTGATTGGTGTACCCCCCATTCTGAAGATACACTTGTCTCAGGAGTTACAGTTTGATTGGTGAATCCCCATTCTGAAGGTACACTTGTCTCAGGAGTTAGTTTGATCGTTGAACCCCCCATTCTGAAGGTACACTTGTCTCAGGAGTTACGGCACTATTGCTGCAAGTTTACCGAAAGATGGGAATTTGTTGACAAAAGCTGTCATTAAAAGATGACAGAAACTGGGAAATTCTGTTAAGCTTGACGTTTTCAGTGCAGTCTTCACTTGTGTAGATTCATCAAGAGAGACCCTTTTGTCAATGAAAGGCACAAAGTTTTCTCCAGTAACTTTTATTTTGTTGTCTCTGTGCTGTCAGAGTGCAGGATTTTCATCAAGAAACTGTGATGGGTTTAGTGCAGTATTCAGCAATAGACAACAGGGAGCTGGCCATGTAGCCATCTCCTTTAGTTTGCAAAGACAGGACATACAATTTCTCTCATCTGCAGGATTGTTTATTAACACAGCTTTGATTCCTTTGCAGGTATCATCCCACTGAATTATGTAAAGAAAATGGCATGTATTTTCATGGGAGGTTGCACTGACTTGATTGATGACATCACTGGTTGACATAACTATCTGGTGAATACTTGATAAAACATTGTTATTCTTCTAGAGTGTGAGCAATAGCCTGTTGTGTACTGGCAACACATCTAAAAGGAAACATATGTTTGTGAAAGACTCTTCAATGGTATTCCCTCTCTTAACATTGTCCACTTTTACACCTTTGCACAAGTTGGATGAGTTTTGGTGCACTGCCATGATTGCATTGTGCCAAGACAGCCAATGAACAGAGCCTGGCATTTTTAGTAAAACTTAAGTCATTATTGTTGAGTGCTTCGTCCATTCCTCACAGTCATTTGTATGTTCGTAATGTTGGTAAATGCTGTTAATGTCAGTCTTGTGTTTACATATCTATATAATGTGTTTCTGGTAGTTGGCAGTTGCTAGCACCAAGCAAAATGAGTTCAGTTCCTTCACTGGCATAGCAACCCCTTCTTTAATCACAGTTGTTTCATTTGATCTGAGGCCTATAACATTAAAAAATAAAATTCATTGTTTTCCTAAGGGATGTCAATATTCCTTCATATTTGAATATCTTTAAGTGATTTGACTATGCTTTGGATTCATGACAAGTGTTACGATTTGGAATTGGAGATTTTAACTTGAATGGCATTGTATGTGCACATTGGCTAAATGGTCAGATCAGATCAGACACCTATGATACAAGTACAACTATCCCTAATTTCCAACTACTGACCAGAGGGAGCCAGCCAGCCAACCAACATCTGATACCATACAAGCTGTATACGGCTCTTTGAACCAAATAATGGGTTTACTGTGATTTTTAACAATGTGAAATGTGTTTAGTGGCATCATGTCTTAGAACATTGCTGATTCTTCAATTGACGGTCCTCTTGCTAATCATTAGACCTTGTCTGGCCCCTTATAGTTTACGTTCAAAAAGTTTAATTTATATAAAGGCACATTTTATATTCATCATTAGAGTATCAATGATTAGTCAGAATACCCTACACAGATTTTAAAGGAAGAAACTACGAAAGAAATACGAGCCCATTCATTAGCCTCATCATCTATGAAATGGTGGAAAAATATCCTCTTCTTTATAAGGATTGTTTGCAATTGGAGACCAAAATATATATCCCTGGCTAACATGACTGTGGCTGCAAGTGACACAGAAACAATCAACCAGGCTGTATAATATTTAACAATATAAGACTACTGGGTATTTAACAATATAAGACTACTTGGTATTTAACAATATAAGACTACTGGGTATTTAACAATATAAGATGACTGGGTATTTAACAATATAAGACTACTGGGTATTTAACAATATAAGACTACTGGGTATTTAACAATATAAGACGACTGGGTATTTAACAATATAAGACTACTTGGTATTTAAC